TATTGTTTTAGGTGCCATATCCAAGAAATCAATGCTTCCTCCAGGGTCATAAACATTTATACCTGTTTTTAAGTTTTTACAGCTTTAACTCTTGCATTTGCTTAAGTCTTTGATACGTTTCATGTGAATTTTGTATATGCTACGAGGTACAGGACCAGCTCATTTGTGTATACACGAAGGCATCACTGTTGAGAAGAGCGCTCTTCATGGATTGACTTCGGCATCCCTGCTGAAAACCAACTGTCCGTAGATACGTGGCTCTTTTGGGTGCCTCATTCCTCCTCTCTTCTGCATGAGCCCCTCACACCAGGTCCATGGAGCTGATTATACTCCCTTGTCTCAAATTTTGAAAATGGGAATTGTTAGTCCTCTAATTTTGCTGTTATTTTTGGCTATTTTCATCCATTCTCCATCATGAGAACAAATTCCTGAGTTTTCACCCAAATAAGCTTCCCTAAATTAGTCCCAAGGGATTATATATATATAATGACTGCCGTGAACCACACCAACCTGCTGTTCTGGGGGTTGAATTCAGGACCTTGTGCTTGCCAGGCAGGTGTTTATTCTACTGAGCTATCTCCTTGGCCCCCTTGTTCAGTTTTAAAACTCTTTTACCCTAAGTTTTTAGTAACCCTCAAATCACTTGGGTAATATATACAGTAAGATTTTCTTTTTTTTTTTTTTTGCAGAACCAGGGATTGAACTCAGACCCTTCTTCCTGGCCGCCTATGGTAAGAATTATACAACTAATTTTACTGCTATTGTTTCAGTAACGTTTATTTTTCATTTTTATGTATTTAGTACAGGGTCTACAGGATTTCACTACACAGATGGGACTTATAGTGATCCTTCCTGTTTTTCAGCTTCCTGAGTGCTGGGATTACAGGCATGCACCGCCACACCCAGTTTCAATCACCTCAAGTGTGTCCTGGGAGTGAGGCCAGCTTAGCAAGCCGGGAATCGAATCCCCAGCCCCTGCATCTGCCTAAGCAGGCACTTTAATCAGCTGAGCTAACTGGCCGGCCCTCAGTAACTTTTAATATGTATAAGGTGGACGAAGTTATTGTTTTCCTATAGAAATAAAGCTCACAGAAGTGATCAAGGGGAGTGTGTGTGTCAAAATGTGAAGGCAGATCTTTAAATCCTTTTTTTTTTACTATGAACTAAGCAAAATCTGAGGAGCTGAGAGGTTAATCAAAGCAAGCACAAGTTTAATAATGCAGGCAATCAAGCACAACAGTGTAAAGTACACCAAAATACTTACGTTTTTTTAAAGATAGCTTTTATCAAGTGGAAATCAGACTTACATTGCTAACACTGCTATTTTAAAAGTAAAAACGTAAGTGATAAACATGCCACAATACGCTGAATTCTCATTTAAACATGAGAACAATTCTTCAGAGCCAAGAGGCAAAAAGAAAGCAGTGCCACCCAGTTGGGGGCAGCACATCCTAATTATGAGAGGATCAGCAGAACACACACAAAGGAGCTGCTGTGAAAACCCAATAAGCAATGTAAGGAAAGGCTCAACTGTTACTCCTCACCACCACCATCACCAGAGCTGGCCTAGTTGAAACAACCTCCTTGAGGCCGCACCCGAGCGATAAGGAGGGAAACAGATACCACAGGGCTTGCCCAACCAGTTGCTCCTACCCTGGAAACTAAGAGGCAGCAGAGGAGGCTGGGTGGATGTGTCAACAAGCACACACACATCCGCACCCCAGTGGGCAGGCACGACAGCCCAGGGAAAGGATACTGGTATCCAAGCAGCACCTAGGCGCTTAGGCACGTGACTGAGTCAAAGAGAGATTTTTCTATTCACCCATTTATTAAATAGAGGAAGAAAACAATCTCTGAATTTGTTAAACAGTGAAATCATAAATACCTGTATATGTGTACACATACATTTATGTTTGTGTTCATGATAAAAGTAAATATTCTTAATTCAATAATGTAAGTTAAACCTTCTTTAAAAACCAGACTAAGATTTTAAACGCTGAAAACTAATCCAACCTTAAACTCAAGTAAAACCAGTACCTGATTTGTTTAAGATTCTATTGTGCTGAAATTATGAGTTCAAAGTTGTTATAAGGTATATATTAACACTGACTTAAGTACTAAGTACAAGTTACTCAAATAATGTATGAAAAAAGGAGTACAAAATTTTTGGACTGGGAATCGAACTGAGGACCTTGTGCTTGGCAGGCAGGTGCTTGTTCCACTGAGCTATATACAGGCAGCCCTAAGAGTCCAAATTTTTTTCTCTTTAGTACTGGGGATCGAACTCAGGACCTTACACTTGCCAGGCAGGTGCTTATGCCACTGAATTATCTCCCTGGTGCAAATTTTTAAACACTGTAATTTTTCTTAACATAGCATCAGGACTACCTTTTTAATTAACTACTTTTACTTCAAGCTCGTTGGAAGAAACTAATGTTCCACACTTACCGCAATGTTACGAAAGTACTTCATGTTATCAGTTCACCAAATTACCATCTTTATTTTTTGTCAGACTATAATAACAGCTACTGTACCCTCAAATGTCAAATTTTTTTCAAAGCTTTTTTTGGGAAAATGTACTAAAACTTAATCATCCATAAAAGCTGCAATTTAATCTGACAGTAAACACAAGAAGCAATATTAGAGATAGTTCAGTATATATTTTAGCTTTGAAGCCACAGAAATCAGTTATCCCCGTTTTTTCCTATAAAAGACCCATTTTTCCAAAGCATTATGCACAATTTTAATTAGAATGACAGATACTTCATACTTTTTAAATATAAAATGAAATCAATGACTCAAAAAGTTATCTGCTGTAATGAGTTGAGGAAAAACTTCATAATTGATATCATTTTGGTATAAAGGTTCAACTTTTTAGTGCTTGACAGGGAGGAATCGTGATAAAAAGATCAATATGAAATCATGTGATTACAGTAGCAATACCTAACTTTGAAATGCATCCACGCTCTTTTGTATAATCATACTAGAGTCAAGCGTATTTCTTTTCACATCTGTTATAACTGCTACTGCAAAGGAGAAACACAACTGTCTTATTTTCCAAGAGATACATACACACAGAGCAATTTTTTTCTCCTGCGAACGTGTGTGAACTAATATAATATCTAAATCCTTCACATAATACATAACACAGGAGAAGCCTCTTTGGGCTTATATCCTCAAGTCTGGCAGGCTGGCACCTGCCCATTAGGCAACAGTTCTTCGTTCCTATAATCTGGCTCAGAGCAGCTGCTGACTGCAGGTCTAGAGCAGCAGACATGATTTCTCTTTAGGCTGCTTCTTTTCCACTGGGGTGGTGTTTTTTATTTATTTGTCTGACCAGGCCATAAACTATCTCACTAACGTTGGTCTTTGACTTTGTAGAAGATTCTAAAAAGGCACAGTTACACCACTGTCTTGCTAAATTCTGGCCCTGTTCTTTGCCAACTCCTCGCTCATCTTCCAGGTCACACTTACTGCCAACCAAAATCACTGGGACATCTTCTGTGTCCTCTAGCATGTAGAATCTGCTCCCTTAAATCCTGTACATCACTAAATGTGGACTGAGCTGTAATAGAACATACTAGTGCAGGGGCCAGGGAGATGGCTCAGTAGAATAAGCGTTTGCCTGGCAAGCGCAAGGGCCTGAGTTCAATCCCGGGTTCTGCCAAATAAATAAATAAATAAATAAATAAATAAATAAATAAATAAATAAATAAATAAATAAATAAAATTTGTTCTGTCATAAGATGTAACATTCTCATGATTAGCAGCCTGTTTCTTCTTTCTCAACTTATCTCTCAAAGCTACTACTCAACTTAGGGCTCCTAAAGTCTTCTTCGGCCTGTATAGCCTGAAACTGACTAGCTGTTCAACGGCTTAAGCTCTGCTTCCTGATGTCTGCCCTCCAGCCTGGGACCTCCAGACCTCAGGCACAGCACCGATTATACTTGAAAATCTACACATAAGGCAAATTATGTCAAGTATTTGTTGGGCTAGCTTACTGCAGATGTCCACCATATGAATGCCATGCATAATGGCCAGGGTCCCTGGGCAGCGCACTGTCTCTTTAAGTAATGGGATGGGCAGAGTTAGGCGATGCGCATCTTTGGGCTTAATTCTCTCAGTGACCTCCTTGGCCATCACGCTGGAGAGCATGACTAAGGGGGAAGACTTAACAGCCTCCTCTGCCATCCCACATGAAGGCCTTCACAGACATACTCCCATCTTCGCACATCATGCTGATCCACAGTGGGGTTATAAACAGCATGGGGAAGAACACAGGGGCCTAAGCTGTGAGCCCAGGTAACTGATACAACTCTGCCTTGTTGCAGATGGGCAAGAGGAGCACCTGCCAGCCAAGCACAACATCTCCGCAATAGCCAGGCAACAACCCACAAGAACCAGGTTCCCTGCGAGTCAGAAGCCCTAGTTTGCTTGGAGAGGAAACATTTTTTTAAGATTTAACTGGCTAAAATAACGAAAGAGAACTGCCTGACAGTGCCCAACATAATTTCATTACATTTTTCAAACAGAATGAAGTTTGGGTGATTGATTATATATATGTAATTTATTCTATCTTTTATGTTTTTTTTAGTACAGGGTCTCACTACACAGATCAGACTCGTTGTGATTCTCCTCTTTTCAGCCTCCCAAACTCTGAGATTACAGGAGAGTGCCACCGTGCCCAATCTCAGTCGCCATCTCAGAGCACTCCAGGGGTGGGGCCAGCACAGCATGCTGGGATCAAATTCAGGTCCCTGCATCTGCCTAAGCAAGTGGCTTTAGTCTTCTGAGCTACCTGGCCGGCCCTGGTACGTATATGTTAAACAGGAAGTGTCATCCAACATTTCAGTCAAATTCTTGAAGTTATATGATATTCTGTTCATAAAGAAAACATAAACACGTTTTAAACATTTGATTTTTTAGGCATCTACCTAGGCTAGAGTCTGGTCTACAACACAAGTGCTGATAAAAAAATACATGCTGGTTCATATACAAACCTTGCAGATCTTCGTTTTCAGGTGCTGCTTTGTCTACAGATGTATTGTCCACCTGGGAAGATGCTACAGACTCTGATAACAGTGGCTGATTTGATACAGAGCTAGAAAAGCAAAAACATTTCAATTTTTAAAAATAAACCTTTATTATTTTTATTGTTAAAAAATGTTTGCTATAAGACAGAATCTCACTACCTTGCTCCAACTTGTCCTAGACTACTGGCTCGAGATGCTACCATGCCACCATCCCCAGTGCTAGCACTATAGGTGCCTGCTCCTGCACTATGAAGTATTTCTGAAAAGATGATCGCCACATGTGAATATATTTAGTGTTTTCTTAAACTTTTATTAGTACATGTTTGCTGTAGGAAGTTTGTACCTGTACCTAACACATTTCAATTCCCTCCCCCACCCCTTTATTTTTCTAGCATCAGATTATCTATCTTATAAAACCATATAACTTAATTATCATGTGTACAGATTGAAAACCAGACTAATAGGCCAACATATAAAATATTTAAGAACACATAAATCAACAGTACTACGCCACTTTTTTTTAAAGACAGGGTTTCATTTCGTAGTGCAGGTTGGCCTTGAACTCACTTATGTAGCCCACGTTGGCTTGTACTACTGTGATCCTCCCATCTCAGCCTCCAAGTGTGTCAAGCTATACTTCTAGATACACTCTCTTCTCTGGATCGCAATAGCTTTCTTTCCTCCCTCTTACCTTTTATTTCATACCTTATATAAATATACATAATATGTATATGTTATATATGTATGTTTTACATATATGCATATATGTTATATATGTATATATGTGTATATACATACATATATATATATATATATATATATGTTGAGCTTTTCATGTCAGAGAAACTGCATATTTAAGTTTATGTGTCTGAGTTACTTCAGTCCACATGTAAACTATTAACTAAGGCAGATAATAAATAAGTGAAGCGACCTGAGTGGATCAATAATAGTATACAGAGGTAACTGTTTCTAACATAATCATAGGGTTGTGAAAGGAGAAAAGAATGTGGGCCACAAATCTATGCTTTGGAAACAAAGCAACAGTGAATTTCCTTTGCGCATTTCAAGTACCACATGAATCCATGACAGGAAAACCAGCACGATAAAGCCACATGTAAGGTCCTAAAGCAAAGCTGCAAGTGCTATTCTGTCACAGCAAAACCAAACATCTTCTTAACTCAGATTTCAGAGTTAAAAACATAGACAGGGAATGCTATATCATGGTACTGAAGATAATGTGACAGGACCTTTTTTTAAAATGCAAAACACTAATTCTTGCAGACTAAGGTTGCAATGTATGTATGTATTTTTTTGTGGAACTGGGGATTAAACTCAGGCCCTTGGGCTTGCCAGGGAATAAGGTTGCAATTTAAAGAGTTGACTCAGTGTGCTTCTAAAGGCCTTCAGGAGTGGGTCAGGATATGGTATAGGGAGGAATAAAGAAAAGGACAATTGGAAACGAAACCAAAGGCACAGAAGCCCCCCACATAAAAATAAGAGAATGCTTCTGCTAAACAGTGAGCACACATGGGCACACTCCCAGCTCGTGAAGCTTCCCAGTCCCCACGCCGTCACCACAGAACACCAGCAGCGCCCACCTTACCTCGGCTGCACAGAGGAGGAAGTAGAGGCCAGCGCGGATGGGGCCTCTGGCATGCTGCCACCTGTGCACTGAGCCGGTAGTGACTCCGGCAGACTGCTGACAGAGGCCGCTGTAACAGTACCGATGCCATGTTAGTGAGTCTACATTCTGGGCAGCCCAAGACCTGATCTAAAAAAATGAAAATCAACCTTCCATAACATATAGTATATGGATTTTGTCTTACTGTATGTCAGCTCATACTTTTTATTTATTTATTTTTAGTGAATCTTCAGGGCGAGTTACATTCCCAGTCCCTTTTTACATTCTCGAGACAGGGCTCAGCTGCTACCTTGCCCAGGCCAAACTCTTAACTTGTGATCCTCTTGCCTCAGTCTCGAGAGTGCTCGGCTTATAATCATGTATAATCACAGCTGGCCTATTTCATCCCTTTTAGTTAAAATCCTGTAATACTGTAGCTTGCCATGAAATTGCTTTTCTGGCGCTGGAGACTGAAGCCAGGCCCTGAGTACAGGCTATAAACTGAGCTACCCCTTCAGTCCCCAAAATGTTAAACACTTTTTTCTTAAAGTTTTTCCTTTCCTTTTCTTTCTTTCTCCCCTCCCTTCCTCCTCCTTTGTTCCTTTATCTTTGGAAAAAATTTTAACCAAGAAGAAAACCATATTTATAAACTGCATATATTCATAAACTACATTCCTACTTCTTAGGACTATTACCCAAGCCTCAAGCCTTTAACTCACAAGTAGTACTTTCCAAGTCTCAGTGTACAAATGAGATGTTAAAGTAAAAGATAACTTAGCTGAATTCACAACTAGGTTCATAAGGAACTAATATTAGGTTCTACTTGGAGTATTCTTCATAAGACACAAAGGTGGACAATTATTTAGTTTAAAAGCAATTCCTGTTCATTTGATCTCAGCCTGAAGATTTTGAGATTTTGATGAAATAGTTCTAGATTTTTACTTGAACATGAAACAATTATAAGACTCCATATAATTTAAATGAACTAAGTAACAGCTTGTACTTTCATTAACCTACACATTAGGTATTTACCTATATTAAAACTACCCTCTCTGAATAGCTCTGATGCTTTTGCTTAGCAAAGCTTGTACTCAGAATCCTCACGACCCTTCTTATACAACTGTTGGAACAAAAGACCACCTCAGCTCCAGGACAACCCTTTCACACAAAAAGGCATAAAAGCCCAAGTGAATGGGTGCTGCACATTGCTCATGTGGGTAACTACGTTCTTCCTTCCTAATGGAGGCAGGCTTTCTCTAAGGCCGGCTGTGGCTATGTAAAATCTTCTAAGATCCGATACTCTTTGCTTCTCAACTAGCTTGGCTTCGAAAGAGTCTGCAGCTAGAAGAACTAAAGTCCCCTTACAGCTCATACACCCTTACTGTCCCAGACAGCTACACTGAATGGAGGTGTGCCTCTGTTTTTATAAGGTAATGAGTTCTTACGGCACAGCAAGTAAGACTACAGAATGACCTCATAATATTTACAAAGAGCTGGGGATACTCTTATCTCTGACTCACCACTACTGATCATTACAATGTGAGAAAAGAAAGTTCACTGATGAAGGTGGTATGCAAATACAGTGTTAGAGTAGAAAAAGGCACTGACTACCCAAAAGTATGCAAATTAAGAATACTGCTGTGTTTTAACACAGTTACTTACCAGGTGGGCTTATTCTACCACTACTACTGTTCTGTCTTTGAAGATGTTCTTTATAGCACACTGAACACATGCCATTTGTGCGAGGGTTTCCACAAAACCCGCAGCCAGTGGAACAAAGCATAGGCACTTGGCTGTGATTGGTTTCTTGAGCCATGTTCCTCTGGTGTACACCTGAAATTTACACAGAATTAGCAAAGAACTCAGGTACTTCAATTGTACATTATCCAAATCTCCTTTCATAATAAAGGAACCTCCTCATTATACCCTTTTCACATTATTCTGCATAACTGATCCAAGACCTAGGGCTGATAAAGACCAACGCCATACTGAACTGTCATCTCCAACCTGCTTGACATAAGGGACTGTCCTGACTAAGAAAGCATGAGGTATAACTGAACAATCCAGTTAATGTTTACATTTTTAAAACTTGTTACAATAAAAGACACAGCCATTACTTGCCCTCACAAGAGTCCCTCTCACTTTGCGCATGCTTATCCCACCATTCCTGCCGCTTTCTGAAACAGCCCTGGATGTCCTTCCCGTAAGTATCTTTAGTGTGCTGGTGTGGCTGCCTCTGTGTCCTCTGACTTCAAGAAAGTGCGATGCTGCCTGGTGCTGGAGCCAGGGAATACACACTGTAATACTTTATGACCTTATCTATTCGCTGGATGGCATTTAGCAGCTGTGCTTACTGTATTTTTTATTATACTTTATAAAGACATAAAGGTTTCCAGAAAGTGGCAAAAATGATGGGAGTAGCACATTTCAAGCAAGAGGAAAGTATTCTGAGGGAGTTAATGACAGTGCTCTTTTCAATTATAATAAAAATTTCACCATATATTTTGATAACCCCTGTATAAAGAATTCCTACTGAAAGGGAACTTTTTTGAAGATTGCACCATCTAAAAGTTAAGGACATCTCTTAGTCTCTGTCAAGTTGAGACTACTAGTAATGAGAAACACACATTATAGGTTTTGCGGGCTGTTTTACTATTTAATTTCTAACCACTTAAACTTTTATTTAAAGTTCAGATGTTAACTTGTGCAATGGCTTTAAAAAGCATTTAACATAATATTGATTCTGTTGCAGAAGATTAGAAGAGTTGGGCAAAATTCTAGTTAAATGAGAAATCAGTTCAATCATTTGGAAAGCAATTTAGCAATTCACTTCAAGAGCCCAGTGAAAAACAAATACTGCTCTTCCAACCAGCCATTCTCCTTTAAGAATATTCTATAGAACTTGGATTAAAAAAATATAATTTTAATAAAAATCTTTTAAAATAAAAAAGAACTTGAATATAATCAGAAAAAGAAGACTAATATACAAAGGGTATGCTTCACAGGATAGTTATAAGGTTGATAAACTAAAAATAAGCTAACTGTTCACCACCAGGAGAATGGACTTATTAAACTTATGACACATACTAATAACAAAAGCTGTAAATCATTATTTTAAAATAATTTGTGATGGAAAAATGCTGGTACCAAGTGAAATCACAAAATATGTATTTTATATATATTATAATAATATGTTAATTAGGACTAAAAGAGCATCCATTAGTTACCAAAAAGGGCAGCAGAGATCATATCCTATGATGGCAAAAGTAATGATTTTTTCCCTGCTTTGTATCTTTTCTGTACTTCTAAAATTCTACACTTTAAAAACTCTTTACAATGAAGATACTGCTGCCTAATTGGGGAGAAAATTTATTTTTTAAGTACCTAAAATTTAAAGACTACCAAGGCAGCAGCATTAGTCAGCCCCCAGCAGCTGTCTGGGAGCCACGTGGAGGCAGTGATCCATCACAGCAGATGCAAGAGCCCCACGTGCCGTTTCTCCCAGAGAGCAACTGGCCCTTTGGCATAAATAACAAGGCAGACGGCAGTTAACAGGCTCTTCCTTATTAAAAAGCAACCACCACCTCCTAAATGCAGGTTAGGTTACTTCAGAACAAGTGTATTACAAATGAGTCTATGTTCAATGACCATAAAGAATTTAACTGATAAAACATGGAAGAAAAGCATTCCTTGTTTACTGTTACCAAATTTTTCTTCAAATAAACTTAAAAAGACTGTTGAAGGGGTGGGGAAAAGTTAAAAAATGTCAGAGCCAACTCTTATAAATACACATACCAAATTAAAAGGTGATGATGATACAGCAAAGCTTATTTTAAATACCTTTCTGTTTTGGCCTATGGTCTTGAGGAATATTGGTCTGTAGCTTTCTCTCTTCTTATAATGTTTGTCTGGCTGTGTTATCAGGGTAACTGCTTACTGTCATGAAGCTAATTAATAAGTGATGGAGCTGGGATTCGGTCCAGGTAGTCTGACTACAGCAAAATCCACGATCTAAACCAGCAGTTCTCAAAGTTTGGTCCAGGAACCCCTATGGAGGTCAAAACTGGTTTCAGAATAACACTAACAAATTATTTAGCTTTTTTTTAAAAAAAAAATCATACTGACAAAAACAATAGTGGTATGAAAGTAGTGGTGTATAAAACAGCTAGAGCCTTGACAGCCACACAAGGTAGTGGCATCAAACACTACTTACTGGTAGTTGCGCTTCTCATCATGTTCTTAGGGTAAAAGGCACTGATTTTATTAAATCTTGTCCTGTGACTAACTGGGAATCATGTATGAGGCACCCCTGTTGCACACACAGAAATGACAACTGTCTAAAGAAAAACGGCCTGGGCAGCTGCTGAACTCTGAGCTGGCTGCACTATCTTTTTCACAAGACACCTTCATTTGAAAGAATGACTGATAGTCTAGCTATTGCTACTGAAGTACATGGCAGATATTTTCTTAAAAATGAACAAAGTGAACCTGATAGTCCAGCAACTAAAAACATTCATCACCAAAGATAAATATGCAAGCACTGAAATAAGAAAAAAGGGGACGAGTGTCTACAGTTGAGTGTTTTTGGTGAGATCAGTGGTGATATCAATGAAATGTGATTAGCTGATATTGAATCAACATTTGAAAGATCTTCACAAATCAGCAAACTATTATTTTCCAAGTACCTAATGTAGGAAGCTACAGAATTATTCACGAACAAAAGATTTATTCAAAGTGAAAGACCAACAAATGTTACTGATAAGACAAAAAGGATAACAAGAAACTAACTCTGGTATAATATCAAAGAACAACCACCTCTATTACCTGAAAACACTTTTAAGATAGTCTTTCCAACTATGTGTGAGCCCAGATTTTCTTCTTCTTTTTTTTTTTTTTTTTCCTTTTTTTTGGTGGAACTGGGGATTGAACTCAGGCCCTTGCGCTTGTCAGGAAGCGCTTATTCCACTGAGCCATCTCCCCGGCCCCAGATTTTCTTTTTTTGTTAGCAGTGCTGGAGTCTGAATCTTGGGTCTCAAGAACACTAGGCAAGCATTCTACCTCTAAGCTACATCCCTAGCTCCAAATTCTTTCTAAAAGCTCTAACAGAAACAACAGAAGCAAGTGTGAGACTCTTGCTATTAAGCTTGACCTTAAGGAGATCTATGGACATGTGCCAACAGCCACTCATCACTAAAGAGCGTGTGTGTGTGGGGGGGGTGTTATATTTTCCATAAAACTAATATTTTTTTTCACAGCTTCACTTGTAATATAACAAGTAGCACTATTCATAATCCTCATTTTAAAAAAAAGCTCTCAGGGTATTCACTGATTTTAAAGACCATCAAAGCTTGAAACCAAAAAGTTGGAAAATTTTTTGCTGTAAATGTGCACTCACAACACAGGCAGTGGCACCTCCTAGAGGCAAACACCAAATCTGTGAAGAGGGGAAGCACCAAAGCCAGAACTACCTATAATATACAAACAGATATATAGTATTACACATGAATTTAAACTTTCATAGATGTGGGGGATAGTTACACCCAGACATGATAAATATTCTACTTATATAAAAACTCAAGTACCGTAAATAGCTACAGATAAAAAAACACAATACTTACTTCAAAGGAGATTAAAATTCACAAACATGGAAATATGAGCAATTTTCCCAAGCCAAACTTTCTTGTATAGCAGTAAATTAACAGTGATTTTATAACTTAAGAGGCATGAAAGAGTTCATGGACAACTGAAAAAGAATTGACCTTATTCACTCAGCTTTAAGACACAAAATGTACCTCTGCGTAACATTTACAAAGTTCCAAGACCGTCAGGGTGCTAAGGTTATGGAGTATGTGCTGGCCCAGATGGGTGGCACAGAGAAGCTGCAAGTCCTGCTTCTCTCCCCTAACGCTGCGACCTTTCTGGTGGGCAACCAAGGGACCAAGCACATCAGTCAGGGGTCCAAAGGACCATGGAGGAAAATGGGGATAAGAAGGAGGCACAACAATTTTTTAATTACTGTACTGTGGGATTAAGCTCTAAATCCAAAACAGAGTAAAAGCACACTACCAGGGCCGGGAAGAATGCTCATAGAATAAGCGCCTGCCTGGCAAGCACAGGGTCCTGAGTTCAATCCCTGGTACCAGGGTAGGGGGGAGCACACTACCAGACATATTCATAAAATCAGTAAGATGGTGTTAACAGTTTATGAAGAGGTTTTTTTTTTTTTTTTTTTTTTAAATTTTATTTATTTGTGTGTGTGGCCAGCTCAGCCCACCAGGGGGCGGGGCTGGCTGGCATGTGGTGCTGGGCGATTGAACTGCGGTCCCTGTGCTTTGCTAAGCTTGTTCTAAGTAGGTGCTTTAGACCACTGAGCCATCTCACCAGCCCTATGAAGAGAATTTGTAAAACCTGAATATGATTCATAGAACCATCATACATTGATCCCTGTAGCTCCTCAGGCAATACTTAATAGTCATCCAAAGTTTACTATGGGGCAAAACTATTTTTATTGTTTTATTTATGTACCACTTAATCCTCTCAGGAAGCCTCCATATTGGCACTACTGATATCTTTTTTTTTTTTTTTTTTTTTTGGCGGAACTGGGGATTGAGCTCAGGCCCTTGCGCTTGCCAGCCAAGCACTTATTCTACTGAGCCATCTCCCTGTCCCTGATACCTTTTTTAAAAAAACGACGCACCTAGTAAGCAACTAAGCGTCTTTTTGTATTAAAAAGGGTGAGACTGACTATTCAAGTCCATCATATATTTCTACAAATAATTCTGTGAGCATGCATGAATTATTATTTAAAGATTTAGTAGAGGGGCCGGGGAGATGGCTCAGCAGAATAAGCGCTTCCCTGGCAACTGCAAGGGCCTGAGTCCAATCCCCAGTTCCGCCAAAAAAAAAAAAAAAAAAAAATCTAGTTTCATTTGTTCAATCTTTAGATATTTAGGTTTATCAATCTTTAGATATTATTTAGGTTTAATTAGCTGTAACTGCTCGAGAAATTTTTTTTGTCTTTTTACCTAAGAATTCAAGATTAAATATTTTATGACTGCAAAGATAATTACCAATTATTAAAATTTTGATGAATATCAATTAATGTATGGAACATTGACTCAATTATAATGGCAAATACCTGTCACTTAAACTTCTCTCCCTTTGCTTCATTTTCTAGATTTGTCACTCAGTTCCAATAATTTTCTGTTTGGAGTATCTCATGTTCTTTTATTTTCCATTCCAATTGTGCCTCTCATCCTTTCATACCTGTGGGCTTTTTGTCCCTGTTTTTGCACTAGGGGTTGTAACAGGGCACTGTGCAGGACAGCAGAATTATTTTTTCTTTCAGATTTACTGCCTCTCCTCCCAAGCCATTTATTTAAGTTCTCCTGGAGCATCTAACTCTGCTTTAGTTATTGTACAACTGCCCCTAGAGGGGAATACTTACCCTAGCATTCATGTTGTCCATAATTTCCCCAACAAGACTAATTTCCTGCAAGAGCATTCCCTGTGAAAAGCCTCCTTGGTTGCCTTGTTTTTGGTCTTTTTAAAATTTTATTTTATTGCATTTTTTGGTTGAATTGTTTCTTAGGAGAGGTTTATTTTTTGTTTTTGGTGCTGAGGTCCAAACCCAGGGTTTCTGGCTTTCTAGACAAGCATTCTACCGCTGAGCCAAATTCCCAGCCCAAAAAGATACTCCTTGGACTTAGGTTGGTAGCAGCTTAAATCTCAGCTTTGTCATTTTTGTTGGTTTTTTTGCAGTACTGGGGATTGAATCTAGGGGCATTATACCACTGAGCTACAGTCTTCCCTTTTCATGTTTTATTTCCAGACAGTGTCATTAAATTGCCCAAACTATCTTGAACTTGTGATCCTTCTGTCTCAGTCTTCCAGAGTGCTGGGATTACAGGCATGTGGCAGCATGCCTGCCTCCAGCACTGGCATTCTATTACCTGAAAGAGCCTGACAAGTACCAAACCACCCTAGTCTCAACATACTAAGAGGGCACTAATATCCTCTGTCATGATCACGAGATTAAATAATGCACACAGAAAGCATCTACACTAAGGCTGGCACATAGCAGAAACTCAGCAATTGCTCTTAGCTCACCCTGAAAGCACAGACCCTTTACTTCCTTCCAAAACAAACTAATTCCTAGAAACAAGATTCTAACTTATACTGTGTATTCTTTGGTAAAGGCCCTTTGTACTTTGCCCTTAACAACTTGATTTGTTTGCAGTAATCAATTCTGTTTTTTTTTTTTTTTTTTTTTTTTTTGTGGTATCAGGGATTGAACTCAGGACCTTGCGCTTGCCAGGCAGGCGCTTATTCTACTGAGCTATCTCCCCAGCCCAAGTTAAGAAGGATTTTTTTATTGGCCGGCTCAGGCTGCCTTAAGGGTGGGTCTGGTAAGGTCTGAGGAGCTGAGGACGGAACTGTGGTATCCTGTGCCAGACTGCATTTACATAAGCAGGCGCTTAAACAACTGAGCTAACCAGCAGGCCCCTGCAGTACACTTCTACACTCAAAGAGGCTGGCCGTAACAGCTTTGGGGACATTTTTCCCATTAGGTGAGGGCCTTGTAGACACACAACTTATTTCCTAGCTAAACTTCAAGTTCCTTCTTCAAATCCCCTTTATTCTTAATATGAATTCTACAAAGTATCTTACTAGTTAAGTATTCATGTTAAGGGAAAATGGTTACTTTCTCTTGAAAAGGGCAGAAAACAGACCAAGGAAAACTTTCACACTGCCATACTCATACAAACAATAATTCAGCAAGAATGCCTAGGAGCCTAAGGCAGTTATAAAATGTCTATTTTTTTTCTTCTACACTTAATTGCTTTTTTTCCTCCTTCTAAAGGCAATAGGTAGGGAACGTCATTTATAATGAATCTAAGTTATGAATTCACCAGCTAGGGTCAAATCCTACTCAGTCGTGCCTGATTGGCTAGCACATATTAATATATTTCATTTTTTTGTGGAACCGGGGATTGAAGTCAGGCCCTTGAGCTTGCCAGGGAAGCGCTTATTCTACTGAGCCATCTC